GGGGGGGGGGGGGGGGGATGCTGGGTCGTCAGCCACGCCACGGAGAGCTCACCTCCGTCATAATCACAGGAGCACAGACGCACGCTCTGCTCTTCTAAAATGCCACTTTCCACCCATCAGATTGGCACTGTGTACCGGGCACAGGCCGTTTTCCCTGGAGGGAAGCTGACCCGGTGCGGCCCCCCGGGGGCATTTGGCAATAGCTAGCAAATGCAAACTGTATTCCGTGGGCTAGGAATTCCATTTCGAGAAAGCTGGCCTACAGATATACCAGCAAAATGGCATCATGTCATGGTAGCACTGTGTGTTGGAAAGTCTCCAAATAGAGAAATGGTGATAAATGAGAACAAGACACAGCGGGGAACACGCGGCAGCCACAAAAACAGATGAGGAAGCTCTTCATGGACCAACATGGTTGAGCCCCTGGAGACATTAAGTGGGGAAAAGGAAATGCATAGCAGGCATGCAGCCTATGTTGTCTGTCTCTGCTTGGTGTGCAGAGATCTCTGGAAGACACCTCAGAAACCGGTATCGCCGGCTGCGGGTTGGAAGGGGCCTTGGCGACCTGTGAAGGCTGGGTCCCGCCCATCCGAGAATGAGCACCCCTGCGCCCTCTGGCGGCAGGGGCCCCGCACTGCACGGGAGAGGGCGGGGCTGGGAGCCCAGCTGGTCACCCGTTAGTAGATTGGGGACCTCACACAAATCCCTAACCCCTCTGTTTCTGTTTCCTCTCTGTCAAGCAGTAAAAATACCAGTGCTTTTAATAAATGAGATGGTACTCGTGTAAGTGGGGATAAATGCGCCACCTCATCAGGTTCCTGTGAGGATTAACAATACGTGAAGCTCTTGGCACAGGGCCTGGCCTGCAGCAATGCTCGGTAAATGATTTTGTTCCCAAATACGTCTTGGACATCAGGCAAAGCAGACCACGTGGTTTCTCATCGGCACCTTGACCCTGATAGGATCAAAACGCACACTCCTTGCCGAGGCACACTCCTCAGGGCCCGCGGTCAGCCTGCGTTCCTACGCTTGGCCTGTGCTCCCTCGTGCTGTGGGCTGCTCTCTGCCTGCAATGTCCCTCCCTCCTCTGCCTGACTTGCTCGGCCTCCAGGGCCAGCTCAAAGGTCACCAGCTCCGGGCTCCTCCCGAAGTCCCGGCCTGGAAGGGGCTGTGCCCCTCCCTCTGTGATGGCACCACAGCGGGTGCCCTTCTGCGGGGCATCCTCACACCAGGCGTGATTACGTCCCCAATGCCAGCCAACACACACACACACACACACACACACACGCTCACTCACTTGTTACAAAGGTCAACATGTTTTGTGACACTGCGGTGGAAACAGGCACTGAGGTTAGAGTGCAAACCGATGGTCTTGTGAGGAGAACTGGGCGGCGTCTGTCCGCGCTCAGCAGGCACGTGCAGCCAAGGACGCACGCACAAGCTGCCCCTCCCATCAGCAGGGAGCTGGGTGAGCAAGTGCCGGGAGACCAGACAATGGGACACTGTGCAGCCGAGAAACAGAACCGAGAAGTTTTATTATTGACATGGAACCATCGCCCAAGGTTACACTGGAAAGTGGGGGGAAATACAGTTTATACAGTACCTACCGTGGTGTAAAAAGGGGAGAACGTATATACAAGCATTTGCATTTGATGTATAGACTATTTCAAGAAGAATACAAAAAAACATACCGATACCAGCACACCGGGAGCCTCTGGGGTGAGAACTGGGAGACTGGGAACAGGAGGAGGGAGATGCTGCTATCACATACCTCTTTCTCCTTTAAACTTTATACCGTGTACATATATTATCTATTCAAAATAAAATAACTTTTTAGTAAAGAGGAAAAGGAAAGCCCGTCATAAGATGGAGACGATGGGTAAGCCACCGCTCCAGGAGGAAAAGACCTTGAATTTGTTTCCAGGAGTGAGAGTGTCCTCAGGGCAGCTGCCCCCACTTGCACCGGGCACTGCCACTTGACCTTCAGAGAATTAAACAGGTGTTTCAGTGTCAGCCTGAGTAAAACAGAAGGATAAACCCAGCATCAGTGGTCGAAGAAAATTCATAACGAGTGCATAACCAAGTCCAAAAGAAACAGGACTAGAATGTGGCTCTTTTTTTTTTTTTTAGTTAATCCTCACCCGAGGATATTTTTCCACTGATTTTTAGAGAGAGTGGAAGGGAGAGGGAGAGACAGAGAGAAGCATCGATGTGAGAGAGACACATCGATTAGTTGCCTCCTGCACACACCCCGACCAGGGCCAGGAAACCTGCAAC